ATAACTCGTTCAAAAATATCTAATATATCAGCCCTATATAACCGTTTCTGGAGATCACTGATTAAAATGGCTTAGAGCGAATGCATTTTGTGGCTCTTAGCGGGGGGCATCGTTCTTTGAAACTCGGAGATTGGCTCTGCAGAATTACAAACAAAAACACTGAACAAAATAACAGAAACCACTTCACTTGAAGACTTTCAACAGGAAGCAACTGCTAAAATAGATATCACATGTAACTAGAAGAGACATTAATATTGATATACCACACTACTCCAAATAACAAGTAAGAAAGGGAACATCCCTATCGACACTGGAAAGAGCGATAAGAGCTACTGGACTTGGGAAACCTATTTTCCTGACAAAATTGTTTGAAGAGAAAGACATTATAAATTTTAACCGACAATAGCACGAGCCGCGCGATAAATGAATGCCAAATGTTTCTTTATAAGGAAACGGCTAATATTAACATTACTATTACCATATCCCAAACACCTGAATAAATTATTATTATGTTATTTGACATCTTAATATGAGCCCATTGACGTCCAGTTTTTCATCCATTGAGTTTGTTAACTTTTACTGTTTCTAATTAAACATTACTTTTAAGTGCACTTTGTTTAAATATTGTTTTTTCATTTTCATAAGAACTAAAACAATATGAAGGATCAGACGTTTTCTACTTCTTCCTAGGTATAACGATAAACTATAATCCGACAGTAGCGCCTCTGAACAGTTTTCTTTTGGATTAATATCTAGACAGGATGGTGGGTACATTCCATTAATACGATGTCAATGAAACCTTTTTTTTTGGTAAAGAGACTAATAATCTGGAATTAATATAAGATGATCTTAACATAACATGCTATTTAGATTTAAGCTTAAAAAATCTGTTTTCCAAGAACTTACGATAATCTTCTATATTGATCTTCATCCGATGTTCAGCTTTGAAGGTATCTATTATTTTACCGTCTATAATACTAGACCAAAACATTACTCCACATCCCTCAAGTTATTTTCTAATTGTGTTCGTTGGCTATTTTCATGAATGACCCAGACTATTTCCCAGGCAACAGAGCCATGCCAAATACTGCTATATATATATAATTTTTTTTAATCGGTATCACCACATGCAAGGTAGTAAATCCATTAAGACACAGGGGGTTATTGGGTGTGGAAGAATTAGGAACAGAAGCATTAATAATGAGAGGGAGAGAAAATAATAACGAGGAGGACAGTAGGCAGAAATTGACATTGCATTTAAATTTTTACAGATTGAAGTTGGCTGGAAAACCCGGAGCCGGAAGGGAGTTCCACAAGCGAGAAGTGCGAGTAAACAAACTGTTAGCATAGAACTTACGGCTACATCTAACCAGCTCAGCTGTGAATTGTTGAGATCTCGACTCCAGCCTAGTACTAGGCTTAAATTAAGAAAAAAAATCTAGGCACCATAGCGAAGAGCTCATCGGAACAATTGCCATGAAAATGTTTATAGAAAAGGCACAGAGAGGCAACCTTACGGCGGTGGGAAAGTGACTGAAGCCGAGCCGCCAGATCAGGACCAATAATATTGCTGACACTTCTTTGGATTTTATCAAAGAGCTCAAGGTAACGGTTAGGGGCACCGGACCGTATGTGGCAGCAATATTCTAAGCATGGACGAATGATAAACTTATAGATATGTAAGATAGATTCTGAAGAGAAAAATTATCTCGCACGAGACAGTGAACCAACTTTCTTAAGCTTTTTCCCCTGGTGTCCCGACTACATAAATTTAAGCGTGCTACTAGAGTAGCATCTTGCTCCCACTTTTATTTACCGTTGAAATATTTAAATGTAACCGCCATTTCTACTCCAACAGCTTCCATTCTGTGGAACTTCCGTCTACTTGTTTCTCTGATAAATATAATCTTCAAAAGTTTAAATCCAACATCACTCGCTATCTTCTGATGTCTTTAACCCTGTTCCTCTTTTACCCTTTTCTCATTACCTCTATAACCATTTTTTCTCTCACCTTTACTCTTTGTAACTCCATGTGAGTACCGGTGGGACTTCCGCTTTGCTAAGAGTGAAATGCTTACAAAATTACGCAGGAAATCATTTTTCATGTACTTCTTCGACCAACTTTGGTGTTTCTTTCTGTGATGTTTATCTAAAGGTGGTAATTTGGTTGTTTCGAATCTCTTTAACCAAATTCTTAATATTCTGCATTTTTCTCTCTGTTTACATTCACAACGACAACTTGTTCAAGTATTTTATTACTCGTCAGGCAACATTTCTTATTTATTTCTCGTAATATTTCTCTGTTTTTCTTCTATACCTAATGTGTCTATTATTTTATTCCAATAAGGAAACTTATATGTCTACATATGCCGCACATACCCGAGAACAGGACAACCACATTTGAATAGAAAGTTGTTGTTCTTCTAACACAAAAACATAACAGGGTTTTATTATCTCTAGTGTATCATTAAATGATCAAAACGTGATTATCAGGAATTATTTACGACTTAAATCTAAATCACTGAAAATCTCTCGACAAATATATAAATATGTTGCCATGAAAGGATCGATAAAGTTTGATATTGTTTTCCAAAGCCAGACAAACAATTAGCAGTATCAACTCAAGTTTATAAATATTTTCTAGGGATGTAGGGTGATATAATGGAATATGCATACACCTGTGTTCCCCGTCACTGGAATATGATTGGCTGGTGTCCGTCATAAATACAGACGGACGTGTAGGTATGACAGAGTTTAAGTCTATGACGACGCCCATTGGACTGCGCCATTGGCTATTCTATTACCTGCGACTATGACGAGTACCAGTCGATTGCTGCTACCGTGTTCTACTTGATTACAGTAGCTAAACCCACTTAGCTACTTCGATCAAATATATCCCTTTCCGGGATATATCGTAGGGCTTGTGCTACAAAATAACAGGTAGATAGTAATTGTAATGGCAATTTTTAGACAATGAGTAATATATGAGTTTCAATTAAAAAATATGACACAATTATCAAGGCCAAAAGAAGTCTCAAACTGAACTGACCTCTTAATATTTATTTTACAATTTATAATTCTCTACTTCATATACGAGGGTCGGTTGTAAAGTTCATAAGTTGACTAAGATACTCTTCCGAAATGTGACCAAATGAGGGTTATTTTTCAACATGCGGTTCACATACTTCTTCCATCGGTGTTGTAGTGTTTGAATCCCAGTAGTGCAAATCTTTCATCCTGTTGATAAAAAATCATCAACAATTGATATGACGTAATCCTTATTGCGATACTGTTTCCCAGCCAATTGTTTTTTTTTTCATGTTGGGGAACAGATGGTAGTCAAATCAGGAGAATAGGCAGAGTAATCAACCAGTTCAAGCCACTGTCATGCATGCAGGAGTTCCTGTCTCGAGCAGGTCTTACCAGCATGTTCACACTGCCCAGACAGCGCAGACTCCATTAGTTAGGTAACGTCTACCGCATATCAGACGGCCGCATCCCCAAAGACCTCCTGTATGAAGATCTGGCGTCTGGAATGAGACTCGCCGGACGGCCACATCTGCGGTATCGCGATGTTGTGAGGCGCGACGTGGAAGCTGTGGACATTAACACAGACTCCTGGAAGATTCTGGAAGCCATACGATCCAAATGGAGAGGAACCCTGACCAAAACCTCAAGTCAGTGGAAAAAAAGCTGACATAAGTCGCCACGGAAAGGCAGGCCCGCAGGCAGCTCCAACAGACCAGAGACGAAACACACATGCGACTACTACAACAAAGATTGTCACTCTCGCATCGGCTTCTGCAGTCACAGACATCGATGTTCCAGCGAAGCAGATAACTAGGATTCTACCTATGGTTAAACCTGTAACTCTTCCCTGATAAAACAAGACCAATTTCGTCAGTTTTCATGGATGTTTGGTCTTGATCGCCTTTTGTAACTGAATTGGCATAGGACTATCTATTGATGGTGTAACCTTTTTGAAGAGAATTAATAAACACAATATCCTTTTCCTTCCAAAAATGAACCCATCACCTTCCCTGCTGATAAAACGAACTTTGAAGAAGGTGATGAGGGGTATTTCCCCTGATTGGTTTGTCTCTTTGTCTCTTTGTCTCTGGTTCAAAGTGATGAAACCAACTTGGGTTAGGAAAAAGTTTGTCTCAAATAATGTTAGATTTTCCTGTGATGTAATTAGTCAGTTACGCGTTTGATCAGGTTTCAGATAACGTGGCACCCATTGAGCAGAAACCTTCGTCATTCCAAATTTATTGTGTAGAATATTTTAATTCGCTCACGGGATATATTAATAGCATCGGCTATTTCATTTATAGAAACATGCAGTTATTAATATAAAAAAAGAGTTGAGATTAATGCATGCAGGATTTCGTAGCTCTAGCATGGCTCCTTCTTAGTCAGTTTAAGAACTTTTTCCGCCCACTCTCCTATAATTTGAAAATTCTGTTACTGTTTCACTAGACCACTTCGATATTTTCTATTATTTTCAGCTGGTGAGATGATCAAACAACTCTTCATATAATTCTTTTTTTTCTTTTCTAATTGTAATGGCAATATTAGATATTTCTTTATAAGGAATCATTCAGCATTTATGGAGTGAGCAGCCAGTAATACCGTCGGTTGAAATTTATAAAATCTATCGCCTGTAAAATAGGTTTATAAAGTCCAGTAGCTGTTATCGCTCTTTCCAGTCATTTTAATCTTATGTTGGATGTAGACTGATTAATTGATTCGTTTTACTGCTTATCAACCTTTTGCAAGTTATTTAAAGGCACGAAATATTTTTGTTTCGACTGTAAGATTTTATTTTAGATAATGATTTAGTGATACAAGTCTTACTATTAAATCCATAGCTGGGGGAAAGAGTCGGATTTATAAGATTCCCAAGGATATTTGCGCGGAAGTGAATATAACGAAACAGAACTCGGTTCTTCGATTAACAATTCCGAGCCATTATCTTTTACACCACCTGCACATCCAAGCTTACAGCTCGTGGTATTCCCAAGCGATCACCCATCTATGTACTGGAAGGCTCGACGTTGCTTAACTTCGGAAATCATAAGGGAATCTGATGTGACTGTCAACCTTTTTTGACGTAGTGTGGAAATTCAGTATGTTGATTATAAATAGGCCTAATGCTTACGAAGCATATTTCTGTCGTGTCGTAGACGCTATGCCAAGAAGCTAATCTTGCATACGTATGTCAATATGAGTTTACTCTAATTGATACCTTAATGTTTTGACTGTTTAGGAAACTCGACCCGACTCTGGAAAATTGTCTATATAAATCTCTTAACTTACTAAACAACTTGACGTGAGTATTTGTGCTCTTAGAAATTCCAGCGTATATCACCTAAAGATGGCCGGAGCGTACAACGGCTGAGACGTCGTGAATATGACAATAAAGATGAGGACAACAGTTCGAACAATGTAAATAGTGTGAAAAGATACAATAAGTCTACAATTTTATTTTAATCAACAAGAAGAAAAAAAGATTGAGTTACAAGCAATCTATAAACACGCTACCTTCAAACTCATCATGTCATAAATTTGCCCTATGGACAAGGAGCAATAAAAAGTGACGATTCAACAAGTGTCGTCTTTAAAAATTTCGGTGCAGTTTGATACTGCACACATTTTAACAGAGACTTTAAATAAGAAATTAGCCATTTTTTTTTAAAGATTATTGTGGGGCTCGCCCCTTGTACACAAAATGGACTCGTCCAAGTATACTTATACTACGGAGAGATAGCATGAGAAAAAAAGATCGACACAGGGTGTTCACTCAGAGTTATACGAGTGTCCAGAAAGAGAGATAAAGGCTTCCATTACCGAGACTTTTCTACTAACCCGCATTCCTGGACAACTAATCTTCATTTCACTTTGTCTCCTTACGTTTAATACACATATTTTCCTATTTCTATTGCAGGTGATGTTATTTATTTGTGCCGGATTTGAATTGCTAGGACGTCTTGGGAAAGATTTTAGAAAAGATTACCGCTACCTTTTCGATGTTTTGGTACTTTCAGTTTTCTTTCCCTTAGACTGGTTATGAAAAAAAAAAAGTTAGTGAGTCCGGTCTACCTTGATATTTAACGCATAGTAGAAGGAGGAGAGATGAATTCATGCCTTTCTTACAAGAGGATTTGCGTGAAAGTCAACATAACCGACTAAGCCGGAATTTGAACCGGGCTCTACGATTTCAATTTCCGCGCCGATAAACGTTAAACTAAAGGTAGGTACGCTAACCACGCTTCAGAAACAATAAAAGGCTTAGGTATCCATAGTAACAGAGTAGTAAGCAAAGATGAAGACTAGTTATAACAGGTATATATATATATATATATATATATATATATATATATATATAGATAGATAGATAGATAGATAGATAGATAGATAGATAGATAGATAGATAGATAGTGAAAGAGATTGTGACTCAAACTTCTCTCTTGGGTGTTTTGTGATTTTTCCAAGCCGCTTGATACTACCTGAAAAATCAATAAATATGTCCTCGATCCAATGTTTAGAGAATGTAGATACATTATTTGTTCTTTGAAAACCTTTGATATTTAGTTTCTAGCTTACGAATTGTGACCTATACCAATATATGTGTTATTTAAAGTATGTATAAAAAATATCGCTTATTTCGAAGTTGTTAATTTTATTCTAGTTGAATAAAATATTTAAAAATGCGTCTAGAATATTCACATGGAGTTTTAAAAGGAAGTTACATTGTATTTGGGTACATAAGAGTTCAAACTATTTTATACTGATGGAAAATAAACCTATAGCATCGTAAATATGTTTCAATTTAATCAAGATTAAACATGTAATATTACTGGATTACAATAATTGATCTCATATGCAAACCAATACGTTTATAGGCCCTGATAGACGGAATACATAGAGAGCACTTAGAGCGCACATTAATAAACTTTTAACAAAGGATTGTAGACTTGCATCCATTGATCGTAAACGTAGAGAGGACTGTTGGTTGAAATCACATTTCGTAGAGGTTTTAAGTGAAATTCAAAGACAGTTTGTAGATATTTGAACATTTAATTCACCACATACCGTAATTCCCCGTGTATAATACGCCTTCATCCATAACACGCGCCCCTAAAATTTTGCTGAAAGTATGGGAAAATGCTTCTACTCACGCATAATACGCACCCCTAGTTTGGTAATCAAACCCTATAAATTGTACCCCTCCAATTTCATTTACAGACTGATGTGGAGGTACATGGACTACGCCTATTGTCTTCGCCTATCGCCTATTCTTACCTGTTTTAAAATGTGCAATCTATCAGATCTGCATGTAGTTTTTCACAAAAATGGTTTTAAACAGAATAATATTATTCTAATTTAGTTTTATGATAATTCTTATTTTATTTTACATTTGTATTGTTAGGTACATATGATTGTATTTCAGATCCTTATGGATTGTAATCACCAAATGTCAAATTGTCGTATGTTTGTGGTGAGTAGTCATTTCGTAACTGTCAAACGGCAATTAAAAAAAGAAATTGTGGCTGTGGATAGCGCACCCCTAATTTTGCTTATTATTTTTTCGAAAAAATGTGTATTATACATGTGGAATTACGGTATAAACTAGTTTCTTTCTTTTAACTACCTTTCGCCACCTTCGTGTCAACTTCATGATTAAATCTTGTCATTTTTCGGGGTGATGAACTGGTCTAACTGGTTTTGAAATGATGCCAGATAACTGAAATTCTTTTGTAGGTATCAAAATAAGTGTTAATCCGAAGGTTCAAGAGGTAGTTGGTATAATGGGTGTAGTAGATACCAGACAAGCTCTACTAATTTCTGCTGGGTCTTCCAAGAGACATAAGATCTAGAGCTGTCCTGATAGAAGGCGACTCCTGATTGGCTAATTCCGAAAGTTTTTTTTTTTTAGTTTTTTTTTTTATCCATTGCTGTTTATGCAGTACAATTGGGAACAGCACTTAGTTGAATTAAACGTATGGGTTTTCAGAAAGAACTCGTAATGCATAAATGCTCTTCCAGCCCTGCCAAATACACAGAATCACCTTCAGATGAAGTGAAGACCAGTTTGAAGTGGTTAAACTTTTTCCACTCCACATTGTTGTAAATAATCCATTTTCATCACCCGTGATTGTTCTTTTAACAAAAAATGGGTCGTTGTTTTTTATGTTTTGTCTGAGCAGAGAATTACAGATGAAAGCTGGGCTCATTATATATTTACTGTTGAATCATGAACCACTCAAATATTCTGGTGATTTACGTATCCAAGTATTTTTAAATGCCTAAACTTAATCCATATGAGATATACGGAGTATATTTACAAGGAACCGTATCATGTGAACGGGATTATTTTTAATCGTTTTGATCATCATCGATTTCAGGCGTGACGTAAAATTCTCAGGAGTACTGTCAGCTATGGCACCCTCTCCATAAACGGCACATATATGTTTTGCTATTTCTAGAGTGTTTCTTTTTTCTTTCCGGAAATAAAAGAGCATCAAATAAGGAAAATTAATCTATTTTTCTAACATTTACATTTTTAATTAAAATCATTTAAAATTCACGATGCACACATGAAGTGTATAAAAAGTCGTATTAACATAAATTTCAGAATAAGTATTGATATGTCCCGGAAATGGATATATTTGTTCGAGGTAGCAGAATGGTTGTTGACTACTGTAACCGGGTAGGACAATCTAGAAGGTAACCGTAATGGACTGGTCCTCGTCATAGTGGAAGGCAATAGGCATAGGCGATAGGCGAATACAATAGGCGTAGTCCATGTACCTCCACATCAGTCTGTATTTATGGCTGACACCAGCCAATCATATTACTGTGAGAGGTAACCCAAGTGTATGCATATTCATTACATCATGTATATACGTCAGGATTTTCAGTTATGTATGAAACGAAATCAAGCGTTCAAATATAAACTATTGGGAAACGCTATGAACTTTATTCCAACCCGTTATTTATTAGATTAGTGGCGCATTTATTAAAGGCCTAGTGTAGCATTTATTCAATACTGCATATACGTTTAATGCTAAAACGTGAGACAACAAAGATATATTGGAAAATTGGGAAAAAAGTATATAGAGTAAAAAAAACGTGGGTATATTTTACGTTAATGTTGGAGGAATTCACAGAATCCATTTTATTATGAAAAACGAAAGAAAGAACCTGCCCACTGTAAAGGTCGTGCAACAGAGAATTATCGCTTTTTTATTTTAATGATTATCTGATCTTTCGAGAATTACAGCTTACAAGCAGATTATATTAGAATTTCGATTCCCTTCCAAATCCCTTAGAATGATTTCCATCTGGGAATGTTTAAAATTGCGTTAAAATGTTTGAATAATTTCTTAAAGTGTTTAAATTGGGTGATGTAATTATAAGCAAACGTTAAACGAATTTTGTAATTGCAAGGAATAAAGACTTAAATTAATTAGACCAGTAGGAAATTATGACACTGCTTCGCTATATGAAAAACATTACCCCCTGCCCCAACAACAACAAAAAAAACCCTGATAAATTTGGCATATATTCATATCTTCTTCTTCTTCTTCTTCTTCTTCTTCTTCTTCTTCTTCTTCTTCTTTTCTTCTTCTTCTTGTTCTCGTCCTCCTCCTTTTTTTCTTTTTCTTCTTCTTCTTGTCATCCTCCTCCACCTCCTCCTCCTTCTTCTTCTTCTTGTCCTCCTCCCTCCTTCTTCTCCTCCTCCTCCTTCTTCTTCTTCTTCTTTCTCTTCTTCTTCTTCTTCTTCTTGTTATCGTCCTCCTCCTTCTTCTTCTTCATCTTCTTCTTCTTCATCTTCTTCTTCTTCTTCTCCTCCTCCTCCTCCTCCCCTCCTCTTCCTCCTTCTTCTTCTTCTTGTTATCGTCCTCCTCCTTCTTCTTTTTCTTCTTCTTCTTCTTCATCTTCTTCTTCTCCTACCCTCCCCTTCCTCCTCCCCTCCCCTTCCTCCTTCTTCTTCTTCTTCTTCTTCTTCTTCAATTTAAATATATATAAAAAAAGGATCGAAAGTTCCCTTTCCGAAAATAAACAAATATTAAGGAAAATGTATCTAAA